CACATAAAAATAAAGGTGTTGTGTCCAACTACAACTAAAAAAAATGTTTAAAAATATATAAATAAATAAATCCTATTGATTGATGTTACTGTCAGTTCAACTTTACTCTTATTAATTTTCTGCCTGCTGGATCTGTCATAGAGAGTATTGAGGTCTCCAACTATAGTAGTGAATTTATTTTTCTTTCCCATCAGTTTGCTGCATATATTTTGAAGTTCTGTTGTTATTATAGGTGGACACAATATCTTTATTTTATTGATTTACATGTGTTGCTGAGGATTGAACCCATGGCCCTGCATGTGCTAGAAGCACTCTAACCAAACCATAATCCCAGTCCCCACCATGTATCTTTCTCTACACCTTTATTCTTAATCTATCTATGTCTTTATATTTAATGGAACTTCCTTGTATTTTGAACCAGTCTCTTTAAATTTGTATGTTTGTATATTTAATTAGTCTTTGTCTTTTGTGTATTGAAACTACCCACACTTCTGGTGATTATCAATATAACTGAATTGATACCAATCATATTTACAACTGTTTTCCATCCATTGTCGCTGATTCTGTTTTGTCTTTTTCTCTGCCTTTTCTCGTTTTAATTGGGCATCCTGTATGAATCCATTTTTTCTTTTCTTTCTGCATATTAATTATACTTATTTTTTAATGCTTTCTAGTGGTTGCCCCAGAGTTTGAAATGTACATTTACAACCACTCAAGTCCACTTTCAAATAATACTCTCCTACTTCTCAATTAATGCAGGTACCTCAAGAGTGTTTCCAGTTCCTTCTTCTATTTTTTATGACATCATTGTCATTCACGTCACTTGCCTATAAATCACTGACTATATCATTGTTATTATTTAAATAAACTATTACATCAATAATAACTTACTGAACAATTTAGACTAAGTATAAAATATTTTAAAAAAATAAAGAGAAGGCAGTTTCTTGATACATAGCCCAGACCAGTATTGAACTCCAGGTCTCAAGAGATCTTCCTGCCTAGGCCTCCTGAGTAACTGGGACTACAGGTACATACCACCATGTTCAGAAGAAATATAAAAGATTCTATTTTACCTTCTCATATTGCTTTCCCGATGCTGATCTTTTCCTTATGTTGATCCAAGTTTCTTACATATTTTTTCCCATCTCCCCAATTTCATTTGCATTCCCTGCAGGTCTCCTCTGCTTCCAGGCCTCCTCTGCAACTTCCCTGCAGACCTGTGGTAGATAAGGGTGATGTGTAAGCAGAGTGTTATCACAGCAGCAATGAGTGTTGCCAGATAGTCTGATAAGAACCAATCCACTGGGCATTAAGAGAAAACAAAGCCCAGTGGCAAAGTGACAAGTTTTGCCCCACAAGGAATGCCCACAGCAAGGCAGCAGATGGGTGCACTGTTCCTACCAGGAATCCCTGCCCTGTACACTAGCCAGCTGTGAACTGCCTAGCTCCAACTCCCTCAAATCCATACCTGGGTGGAGTCCTCACTTCTCTACAATAATAGCAGATGCTCCCTTCTCAGGCTTTCATCCTTGCTTTGTCCTGTGTCAGTGGCCCAGGATTCAGTGATGATTTGTCTCCAGCCTGGCTCCATCTGGGCATCTTTACATCTGCAGTAAGTCAGTACTGGGGATTGGGCAGCTCTCAGCAACTGCTAAGTCAGTTGAGCATCTGGGTCTCAGACAGCTAAATATTAAGCATTTTCTTCAAGTAGGGCTTGAAAGGACCCTGAACACATTCCCAGAACAGAATCCCTGTGAAGGTGTTTATCACTCCTAAGAAATGTGAGCCTCCCTGAGGGGAGAGCACTCATTCCTCAATAAGGGCACAGGGCCTATTCTTCTCTGAATGTCAGTGCCCAGAATATGCAAAGACTTCTTTCCACTTTATTTTCTGGGGTGAAGTAGTCTTGCAGCAACAATTTTTTTTCTCTCTCGAACCATTTATTCTTCTTTATTCATAGCTCACTAAGGGTGAGGGACTTTGCATACCGCTCCATGAATGGATGAAGCATGCCTCCGTGGGAAGGGATGGCAAAGGCCCATCCTCAAACCAGGTCTCGGCTTTTAGGTAGAAGTTTTATAAATTGTGATTCCCCCTACTTCTTCCTTTCAGGAAATTTCAGGGGGAAGGGTGTAGCAGAGAATGCAGAATAACTGAAGAAATGTGTACATTGAAGCTTTGTCAGCTTAGCCCAAAAGGACCCCAGATAGCTTGCAGTTGAGGCACTTTCCTTAACACTCTTAGAAAGACCTTTTTAAAAAGAAGCTTTAATAACTAAGTGATATATACTTTTCCCAAACCTGATTATGAGGGATTTCTGTACAGAAGACAAGCAAAGTATGAAGCTTTTAATAGCAACCTGCAGGCAAGCCAATGAAGGTGGCATCACACCCCTCAGTGCTGGCAAAAATCGTTTATTTTTTTCTTCTGGTGTTCATTTAAGTGAATGTTCTCAACACTGTTTAATAACACTTCCCAAACATCCCTTAAATTCATTTAAGTTTGCCCGAAAGATTTCTAGTGGTTTGTAGACCCCATGAAAAACATTTCATCAACTCTTGCCTTATTCTCTAATTGGAAGGAAATTACTTAATCCCATATAAATGTAAATGCTGTTAACACCCATGCACATCCTACAGTAAAAAGGAGCTTTGCTTAGTAGCAGCCTATTTTTAATAATTAGTTTAGCAGTTGTTTACCAAGCCCTGCTATGAAATAGCTCCATGCTGGGCACACAGGCCCGGATGGGAACCTGACCACAATGCATGACATGATCTGGTGTTTGGGGACAGGCCACACATTTCTCTCCTTTGGACTTCCTTCTGCATCTGACTATTATGAATGAGCTCACATTCCTTTCCAGCTGTATTATAGGACTTTATTGACTTTACTTTTCATCCTTTCGACATGCTTTTGATTAGATTTGCAAGGACAATGTCATTAGCTAGGACAGCCTTTTAAAAATCAAGATCTATTATTCTCATTTTTAAGAAGTCATTCAAGTCTGCATTGCATAAATGTATTTTAATAAACCAAGCCTGCTATTTCCCATAACTCTGCTTTACCCTCTACAGATATATTTTCTGTAGAGGAAGCATTTTGCTTCAAGAATGGGAATAGAATGAAACATTTTGCTTCAAGAATGGGAACAGAAACTCATCTATTTATCCAGAAACTCGGGTCACTTCTTACTTTTTCTTTAAGCATCTAATTCATCACATTTCAAGGATGATCTGCAGTTTGCCAATATATCTTGATGTTATCAATCATGCTTCACATCCAAGGAAACATGACCATCTCAATCCCAGCTATGGTGTTGCCAACTCCACAGCTGTATTGCCTGCCCTCCCTCAATGCTAGCACAGCCTCCAGCCCCACTGGGGTATGCAGGGTTGTCAGAGGTATAAGTTTGACTGCCAGGGTCAGGCTGCCAATCCCCTCACTCCTTTTTGTAGAAGCTTCCCTGGCCCTCAAACCAGACCACAAGGCATCTCTGCTGCACTTTTCAGAGAACTTTTCCTTTTCTCTATTAGCATTTATTTCATGATAATTTTATTCCTTGTTTATTTATCTGCTTTCCCAACTAGACTGATTCCATTGAAGTAGATAATGTTCCGTGTATCTTTGTGCCTCAAGGCCCGCATATATCTCATTCTAAATAGCATGATATGACTGTGTGTGGTGGTACACATCTGTACTACCTCCCATATCTGTGGGAGGCTGAGACAGGAAGATAACAAATTTGAGGCAAGCCTCAACAACTTATCAAGATTCTGTCTCAGAATTAAATAAAAAGGACAGGGGATATAACTTAGTGGTAGAGGGCCCGTGGGTTTAATCCCTAGTACTGCAAAAAAAAAAAAAAAAAAAATCATGGATAGGGTGTGGTTTAATGATACAGTCTTACTTAGCATTCATGGAGGTCCTAGGTTAGATCCCCAGTACCCAGAAAAAAAAAAAAAATAGCGGTATCCTATACTTATTTGTTGGTTGAATAAATCAATCATAAATGCTGGAGTAGAAAAGAAATGCATGCATTCTTAATCACAATTACAATAAGGAAACCAGAGAAATCTTATTTGAGAATATATTAACAAACCAATAAGAACGATTTATCTTTTCTTATGAAAGAAGTGGAATTAAAATAAGCAATTTCATTATACCTGTTAAGGAGGCACATTCTTAAGATACTGATTGTGCAGTATAGTGAAACTGGCATTCTGTGAATTGGGACAATGTAAATCAAAATGTCCTCTTAGGAAGTACTTTCTGAAAGGCTTTTTCTATATCCCCACTACTCATACTCTGGGAAGCAATAATTCTACTTCCAGGAATCTGTTCTGAATAAGGGCCTTCATACAGAAAAGGCTTCTATGCAGAGACACTCATTGCCATACCATTAAAGTAATCCTGAGGAAGCCTGTGATCCCAGCAATTCAGGAGGCTAAGACAAGGTGATTGCAAGTTGGAGGCCAATCTCCGCAACTTAACAAGACTCTGTCTCAAAATAATTCTAAAAGGAGCTGGAGAATCTCAGTGATAGAGTACCCCCTGGGTTCAATCCCCAGAACTACAAAATTAATCAACTAATTAATTAATTTAGAGACCTAATATCTAACATGGGGAGGGTGGAATGGAATCTGTCACCTTACTGCATGTCAATAAGATAACAATCTTTCCAGCAGCTGTGTAGTAAGTTCAAAAACACAAGGTAACATCCATGGATGGTTTGACCTTAACGATTTAACTATGTATGCTTCTGGGGGAAAAAAATCAAGGAAAAACAAAGATGCTTGGTTAGGTGGTCTTGTTGTAGGCAAGTTTAAAATTTGCTTTAAATTGTTTTAATTTTGTATGTGTAATAAGTGGAAATTATAAAAAGCTCAGACTTATATAAATTTACCAGTAAGAAAACAATCTGAGGGTTCACATGTCATCTGGGTGATCAGAGCAGAAATTACCTCTGAAGGTCTGGCTTTTCTCTCACATGGGCCTAGGCACTGTGGTTGGCGTGGATGAGAACACCGCTTTCTCATGGCCTACATGTGACCGGTGTGGCAATGGGAGATTGGAACAGAGGCCAGAAGATGGGTAAGGCTGCCCTGAAATTCCCAGGCCCCAAAGAGCATGATCTAGCCCCAAGGCCCCACAGCCTTGCTGCCTTCAGCAGCTTCCCTAAGAGCTCCGAGGGGAACCTGCTCTGCTGAGCTGCAAGAAAAAGGCCACTATACCTGTGGGTTTTCCTAACTAGTATTTTCCTGTTGCTTTTGCAGATATTTCTGTCTTTTAAAAGAGCTGGTTTTTGTCCTTAGCTCCTTTATTATTAGTCAGAAGAAAAAAGAAAGGCAGGATAAACATGAATAAGTGAGAGCAATGTGAGGACTTTATAGAGTGTCCTGTGCAAGTGGTCCAGGCTTTTCCAGACACCAGACACCAATGAGCAGCACTGAACAGACATCCCTTCCCTGCCCAGTTTTTCTGCACCTCCTCTTGGGTCATGGTGAGGGCTGGATGTCCATGCAGTTTGTTTCTTTGGAGTCAATTCCCTGGCCTCCCAACTGGACTTTGTAGAGTGACAGGCAGAAAAGGGTGTGCTCATTACTTGTTCCCTCTTTAGGAAGCAAAGAACAAATGTTGCCTTGATGCCTGCTGGGTTGGTGGCCTTTGTACACAAGTCATCTCCAGATCACATTGAAGAGGCCAGAGAACGTGGATTCAAGTGGAAGCAGTAGGGGACCAAAGATAGTGGTGCCTTCCCCTCTGCTCCATGTAAATGATAACTCTCTGCCTGTCCAAGAGTCCCCTCAATAGTCTTCAGCCACTGTCACCAAAGCCTGCATTCATCCATCAGAATAGAATCAGACTCTGGCCAATCTCAGGAAGTTGATTTTGATAGCAAAACCCTCTTGTCTCCCTCAGCAAACATTCATTTTTAGAGAAATGTGTGTCTGTTGCTAGAACTCATCTAATTGGGCCTCCTCACTTGTTTGTTTTTCCTATGCATTTTCACACAACAGAGGCACCTTTTTCTGTGGAGATTGTTGTGAGTTGGTCACATCTCCTGTTCTCAAGAGGCACCTGCAAGTCTTTCTGGACTGCCCTTCAAGGCCCCAGTGCAGCGTGAAGGTTAAGGTAGGAGCTGGTACCTAGAACACATGCTCATTTTCCACATGTACCTCAGGAACTCGAGGACAGGGGAAAATTGGAGCACTTGCATGTTCTTTGTCCACCTATGGTATTGATGTGTGTGACTCACAGCTGGGAGGGACCTATACCCAGAGCTCTCTCTAGCCCTCAGAGTACCTCTTCACAAATAGTCTCCATATTGTAACTTCAAAGTCATGTTTGACTTAAAGCTTCCGCTGAAGCTTTGAAGAAAAGACAGTTTAGACTTAGCCTGTTAATTTTAAGAACAAGAGTTATTTTTGCATGAGTACTTAATAGTTTTAACCCAGCCCTGTTCCCCTGTCGTTGCAGCTATTGCAGGGCAGTATTTCTTCACTGCTGAGGTTTGCTGCCTGTGAGGATGGGGTAAGTACAGGGAGTCCCAGCCCAGGTATGCCCAACACTCTTGAGCCTGAGTGAGCAATCGAGCAATCGTCTGCAGAGAAAGAGCCCTCTGCCATTTATGTTCAGTTACAACAAATCCCACTGATTAGCCTACCTTGAGAATTAAAATCTGGATCAGATCAGCCACAGTGGTGCATGCTTGTAATCCCAGCTACTGGGGAGGCTGAGGGAGGAGGATCACAAGTTTGAGGCCAGTCTCAGGAACTTATGAGACCCTGTCTCAAATTTTTTTTTTTTTAAATGAAAAGGGCTGGGGATATAGCTTAGTTGTAAGGTACCTGGGTTTGATTCCCAGTACTGCCCAAAAAAACTGTGTCTGCTTACATATTGAAAAATGGATACATCCTTTTACTGTCACTTACTAACAAGTGCCCATGTAGGCTGATGAGATTCTTTCCTCTTTGTAAATGAAATTATTTCCAGATCAACCTTGAAGCAAATACAGGAATCTGTCCCACTGGCTTTGATTATAATTACATGGTCTGGAGGTTGGTGTCCTGCTGCCATAGCTTCACAGTTGTAGAACAGAATTACCTAAGATGCTCTTTAGTTTTTCAATGATGGGTATTCCAGACTTTATGTAGCTGAAAATGTTACCATTATCCCTCAAAACTGATTTTCCTGCCTTGAGAATTACTGTGTTGAGACTTAGTAGAGCAAAGTACTTCTCTAAGAGAAGTATCCCCAAAGTATACAGTTTCTGTATCACAGAATTTGGGCCTTATAAATGGGAATTCTGTCCTTGAGATGCTATTTGTATTGTCAAACCTATTTAAAAGCACCACAAGTGGCTCTTGGAATTATCGAGCCTGGAGAAGGGCCCAGGAGCTGGCTTGGGTCAGCCTCGCAGGAGGTAGGAACAGGGAAGGCTGATCGTTCCCAGATCAACTTTGGCCCATTGAACAGGGGTCTTTTCCTCATGGAATCTGTGGACAAATTCCAGCTCTGATTCAAGCCAGAATGTGCACAGACTTGACTTGTGGAAACCCCTTTCCTCAGCCTGCCACCCTCTCCAGCTCTGCCAGTTCCTCTCCTGGCCCAAGATTCAGGACATGCCGTGCAGAGCACTTTCAGTTTTCACCCTTTTTCAGCTAATCCAGGGCTATTCGTTTAAATTGCAATATGGATAAATCTGTGAATAATATCTTAAGATCGCTGGTTTGAGCTTAACCTCTAAGCCCTGCTTTCATAGGGCTTTCATCTCCTATGGAGTTCTAAGAGTCTCTATTCCCCCTGAGATAAAGCCCACTGGCTCCTGAGCAACCCCATGTTCCAGCTTAGAACCTCCATCTGAGCTGTTGCTCAGACACATAGGGGTTGATGCTCAGACCAGGCTGTAAGAAGATACATATGCAAGTGTTTCCTGATTGTGTAAAAGTCAGTAATCATCATGGGCCAAGAACTGAACTCACTGCCTTTCTCACATGTGTTCTCTCCAATCTCCCCATCATCCCAGTAAGGCAGAACCCACCTTTTTCTATCAGGGAGTATAGATCTTACCCAAATACATCCCACAAAGGCACAATCATTGTAATCCCTGCAGAAGTGACAAACTGGCAGTGTTAGTAGCCAGCTCAGATAGGAGACATGTGACAGGAACTTATGAAAGTTTCAGTGTTTAGCAGGTGACAAGACAAGGCAGTGGTGCCTGAGGGCGGATTCCTTGTCTCCTGTCTTTTGGGGGAGGGAAGAAGAAAGAAGAGGCCATGCTGGGTCAGAGGGTTCTGCCCAAGGCTGATAGGTCAGAGGTTTCCACAGTGGGGGACTGGGGAATGGGCAGATGCTAAAGATGACAGATAAGGCGTTTCAGAGAATGAATATCCATGGAGAAAGATGGGGAAAGCACTGAAAATGCTCCCACATAAACCCACAACTGGTAACAGCTGGGTATGGCAGAGTTCACCCACTGATCCATGCTGCCCAGTAGCTGATGTCTTGCTTTGTGGCTCCACAGCCTCCAACCCCTGACTGGGTGCGGCAGGCTGGTCACCCACTGGGCACCTGAGGGCTCCTCAGGAAGGCAGCTTGGTGCTTCCTCCAGGAAGCCTCCAGCAATGGGCAGCACTTCATGTTGCCTGGTAAACCCTACCCCTCTTTAGGGACTCAAAGGCCAAGAAGCCCTGGCAGTTCCTCCCTCCTTCACTTGGCTTTCCTACTGGCTGAGGCATCTTGTCCCTCCCATACATTTAACTTCTCAACTAGAATGTTCCCATAGATAAAATCCTATTTAAAAAGAGCTCAAGAGGACAGGTGTGCCTTTGTGCACATGTGAGCTTATATGTGCAAGTACTTGTGTACATGTTTGCTTGAGTGCTGTGGGTGTGTGTATGCATATGTGTGTAAAGGGGCACAGGGTGGTCACTGCACTAGGTATTTGTGGATGCTGACTTCAGAGCCCACACCATCAGAGCAAGGGAACTTTCCAAGCCTGGAGGTACACATTTTAGGAGGCTCTTCACCCTACCCCCAACTTTTGGACCTTTACATCTATCCTGGAAAGTAGCTAATTGAAGAAGTTATCAAAAGGCCTATGCAAGCACATGAGCTGCAAATTACCCAGTCTGGATTTTGTCCGTTTCCTGGTGAGAATGCACATCCACCAAAATCTAAAGCGTCAAATTAGGGCTTTCCATAAGAACCATAATTCCATTCATCCTGGAGCAAATTGTACTGTTTCTAATAAGGTTACTTGAATGGTAAATTTTATGCCTTCACTTTAATGTAGTCAAGCTATATATGTGAAAACAATAGGATTGGTTGTCGCTGTACATATCATTTCTCAATGATAACATTATATTTATGTGGAATTCAGAAGTTCATTCCCTTAAGTTTCAGAAAAGGAAAAGTTAAGGGAACACATATATTGTGCCATTTAAAAATAGGTATACAGCCTGGTGCAGTGGCACACGCCTCTACTCCCAGTGGCTCGAGAGGCTAAGGCAGGAGGATCGTTGAGTTCAGAGCCAGCCTCAGCAATGATGAGGCGCTAAGTAACTCATGTTATGAAGCCCAGTGGTTGAGTGTCCCTAGATTCAATCCCCCCCCAAAAAAATACACAAACACACAAACATAAACAATTTGTACATATGCAGGTACACATTCATATGAATAGTGCATGTGAGTTGGCCATTACAGTTGTTTTAACCTCACCATATTAACTTTCCCCAAATATAAAAAATTTATAATTTAAGCTCCATTTATGGGTGATATAAGACAAACCTAACACTTTAAATAGAACGGATTTTTTTATTGACTTTTTTAAAGTCAAAATTATGTGTATTTGCTCCAAAGGAGCATAGGAATGCCTAGGCTATCTCCTTCCTGCTTACACCAACAAGGCTAAAATTTTTAAGAGACACCAGAGAAGTACCTAACTGTCCTGCCACCCTCCTCCCAGTACTGTTTGGTGACCATCTTTCTCTATTGCTTGGTGCCCTTCCTCCAGACCAGAAGCTTTGAGGTTCTGTCTTGTTTACTGTCATGAGGCTGCATGGGCTCATAGTAAACTACAATGAGTGAGTGAATGAGTGGGCCATGAACTTATTGTCCATGCTACAGTTGAGCCTATAAGGAAAGCCAGAACCTCCATTATTAATTTCTTCTCTTCCTGCCTTGACCAGCAACTTTTACTCTCCCAATCACTCCAGAGCCCACCAATTGAGACATTATTCTAACTTATTTTGCTAAAGAAGCCAAAACTTCTTACAAAGCACATTAAGACTGGGCACAGTGGCACATGCCTGTGATCTCAGCTACTCAGGAAGCTGAGGCAGGAGGATACCAAGTTTAAAGGCAGCCCTGGCAACTTAGGAAAACCCTGTCACAAAATAAAAAGGGCTGGGGATATAGCTCAGTAGTAGAGTACACCTTGGTTCAAACCCCAGTACTTCCAAAAAGGAAAAAAAAAGGCGGCGGGGGGGGGGGGGGCTGGGATTGTGACTCAGTGGTGTAGCGCTTGCCTAGCATATGTGAATGTGAAGCACTGGGTTTGATTCTCAGCACCACATATAAATAAATGAATAAGATAAAGGTCCATCGACAACTAAAATGTGGGTGTGGGTGTATACATATATATGTGTATATATATAATTTAAAAAAAAAAAAAAAAAAGAAAGCAAAGGAACAGAGCACATATAAGTAGTAGGCTAGGTATTTTTCATCAAGCTTGTGTTACAGGTGGGAAAATAATAGAATCATAATGAGTTGGCATCAGTGGTGTTCACATCCCAGAATGATCCTGATACTTATTGCTACAAAATAAATCATCTCAATGCTTAGTGGTTTCAACATTTATTCTGCATGGATACTTGCAGCTCAGATAGGACAGTTTCTGCTACACTAGTATCACCTGATGTCTCAAGCAGGGCTAGGGTTGCTGAAGCCTCCTTCAGTCCCCAGCCAGGGTTCTGACCACTCTCTCTCACAGCATGTGTCTGGCCCTAACAGGAAGACAGGCAGAGGCTGGGTACTTTTCCTAACTGCCATTGGGATGTTACTTGCAGAGGCTCTGCCTGTGCTTCAGCTGGACAGGCAGGCTGGGCTGTGCCTCTTCACTGTAAGGAGAAGCCAGTCACTGAAACCAGCCCAGCCTCAGAATGAGGGTAAAAGACCACCCACTTGATGGGAGGGCACAAGTATCCACAGACTTAGTCTGCTCTGGCTAGATTATCTGCCCTCTCCAGACTTGATCTTCTGGGTTGTGACAGCTTAATGAAGGAAGAGGTAAGTTAATACATACCAAACAGAAAGTTGTAGAAATTTATCAGGTGCCTTGCACAGAGGAGAGGAGTGCCCACAGTATTCCTGTGCAAGTGTCTCCCAGAAGTCCAAAGATCTCATTTATCCCAAGACTTTTAAGCTTTTATTTTCTGCCCCACTCTCTAACCATAAATGATCTACAGTTTGATCTATGGAGACCAAGCCGGGGTTGGGGACCCTGGTTACCCTGTGCAGAATTCTTATCAAAAGGAAATTTGCCTGAGATTAAGCATGTGAAGAAAAAGCTTAGTTTCATTACTACAACACAGGAGGAGGTGTTTAGCATAGTATAATTTAAGAAGAAATAGGATCCTGTTGAGGAGGGAAGCTTGGGGCAAAGTTCCAGGAAATCCTTTGACCGGAAGTGTTGCTAGATTGGGGAAGTGTCCCAAAGGAAGCGGAGACAGCTCTGAGCCCCAGCCTGCCTGTCCAGCTGAAGCATAGGCAGATCCTTTGCAAGTCTTGTCCCTCATTCCTTCCCTTGGCCAGCTTATCACAGCATACACTAAGAAACATGAGATGTATTAAATGTTCCTTGTATAAAAACAGAATTAAGTTATCAGAATAAAATAGTTCCTTCATTTGCCATAATAAAGGGGGCTTTTACAGCAGCACCCCCCCCCCACCCAACTCTTCTCACCATTTGAGGACAGAAGGTCCTGGATTGGGGAAAGGGCCTGTTCTGTTCTGTATTGCTGGGAACAAAACGTGCAGGGCTGGCTCTATTTGCTCTAACCAGCATGCCTTTATCACTGCAGACTTACGAAGTAAAGAGTGTCCTCGGAAAGGAGGTGGGGCTGTTAAGTTGTTTTGTACAGTCCATAACCACCCACCCAACTAACTTCATTGGATTGGAGGAAATTGAGCTTCTGAGTACAGGAGGAAACTCTGCTGAAGGCCAGCAGTTGCCACTGGATTTGTGAACTTTGCAATGTGGCTGCAAGGGTGGGGGTGGGGACTGGGTTTTGCAGTTATTTGTTAACTATGGACAGAGTGAATTATTTTATGATCTTAAAATGAAACTTACTCGATTTTTCTGGGACAAATGTAAGATGGTTTTGTAAACTATAAATCTAAAAGATCTTTTCTATGGCTTTTTTATTATCTTTCCACAAATTTAGGAATGTTTCTAGAGCTTTAATAAACCTGAGACCTTCGTTTTGTATATATGTTAGGCAATAACATTGGACATAAATATGTTGTACAATTATAGCTTAATAGTATTCAAAATTTTATGCTTCGTCATCTTTTCCTTGTATGTTTTCATTTCCCCAAAGAAAAATACCTTGTGACCTTAAAACTTTGTCCCACATTGTGATATTACTGTTCCGATACAATAAATGTCCAATCTAAGCATTTTGCAGTTCAGTATTTTTTGGGAAAAAGTCCTGGAAAACTATGTCAGAGGTTTAAATGTTATCCATGAACTATAAATAAGTTATATATATATTGATAAAGTTGTATACTGAGTAGAGATATGGGAAGCTCACTCCACCACATGACCTGTTAGATCAAGCTGGGTAATTGCACTGTGACAGGACCAAAGATCACGCAGATTTAGAGCAGTAGCTTATCATTATTCACTTTGTTGGCAGAGATTTAATACACATAAAGCCATGAATTATCTTTGAATGCTAAAGATTTTGTTTTCTTCCTCAACATGAGGACAAACCATGGTTAATTAATTACATAATATACACTTAACTTGCCCAGTTCTTAGACAAGAAAAGGTGCCAAATAACCAGTTTTCTTAGGAAAAAAAGCAGATGGCTTTGTTTGGATTAAGCCTTGAAACATTACAATTGCTAACAAAATAGCCAGTTTAAAATAGCTTGAGGACTGCCTTTGTATCTACTGCAAGACTATTTCGTCCTTATGCACACTTTGAAAATCTACACTCCACTGTGGTCCTGAAGACTCAGGAAAGTGAAAGCAAAGTCCCAGGAAAGCAGAAGACCAAACAAATTTCCGGATCACTTAAGGCCTCCTCTATCCCTCACCCGCAATCTAGAGTTAGTGATGTTATCAGCGGGGCCCTCAAATCAGCCAGCCCCAACCCAGATCTAGGTACTTTGGGGAGAGCATCTTCCACTGGAAACCTGCTACCCTTAGGCACGCTTAGTCATGCCATATATATTTTAGGCAAGCTAAAGAAAACGTGGAAGTAGTCTCTGGCATGTTCGAAAAGCAAGCTGACCCTCTTGTCTAAGAAGCTCTATTCCCCCAAGAGAAAAACACACCTGGTCCCAAGGCCCCCAGGTGCTCACCTCAGGCTAGGTCTGGCACGCCCCGTTTAGGGTCCTGGCGCACGGGTGTGCTGTAGTCGTTGCGAATATATGAAGCAGGGGCGATTTTAAATGCTTCTTTATTCTTACAAATGTTGTAAAAATTAATATAAAAAGTGATCATGCTCAGTCTTTTCCTCTTATCTACAATACAAAGGTTTTGTTTGAAAGGGTTTTTGTTTTTTTACAAATGTACCTTAGCTGCTTCAATAAGAGTAAGATGTAGAAAAAGCTACCATTATAAAAATAATTTAAGGGAAAATAAACACGTATAGCTTCTCTCGCAGTTCAGTGACTGTAAGTCCAGGCTGTAGCTTCCTTTCACTCACATGTCCCAAAGAAACTGCAGCAGGCGCCGGGCGACTCTCGCGGCGCCTGGCTAGGGCGCGCTCCACTACGGGCCCGTCGATTCTGAGGTATCGGTCGTTGGTGAGTCTCTCCCGGCCCTGGCCGCGCGTTACCGGCAGTCGGCGGCCCCGGCGGACGTCAGGAAGGACGGGCTGGGCAGCTGTTTGAAGAACTGCCGGAGGCCGGCCAGGTCCCGCGTGAGCTGCTCCACGCGCTGGTGCAGTTTCTCGTTCTCCGCCGACAACTCCACCAGCTTCTGCTGCATCTCCTGGTTGCGTCGCTTGGCCTTGTCACGACTCTTTCGCACCGCGATGTTGTTGCGCTCGCGTCGCTGTCGGTACTCCGGGCTGCCGCGGTCGGGGCCCCTCTTGCCGGAGCCTTTTTCTCGGGCAGGACCCGGCGCCGGGCTCGGACCCGGGCTGCTTCGCGGCGGCTCCGGAGACGTGGGCGGTGTGGGTTGCGCGGAGGTCGCCAGGCTCACCACCGTCTGCGCGCACGCGGCCACCTGCGCGGGCAGCAACGAGCCGGGCGCGTCACTGTCGCCCCAGTCAGGTTCCCGCTTGAGCGGGCGCGAGACAGCTGGGCCCGGGCCGGGCGGCCGCGCGGGGCCGCCGGCCAGTAGCTCCAGGCCGCCCGCGCCGCCCGCGCCGCCCGCCTTATGGTTGCTGTTGAAGAGGTCCGCGAAGAGCTCGTCGTGGCACAGCTCCAAGGTGGGCACGGCGGCCATGGAGTCGATGTAGGCGCTGAAATCGATGGCGCTCTCGTCGTCGTACATGGCAGGGGCGGCGGCGCCCGGCTCCCCCAGGGCCCCGGACTCGGCCCCGCGTCCCGGCTTGCCCGCCCGGCCTGGCTCGTAGAAGGGCGCGGGCTCCGCGGGCCAGGGCGCGCCGCGCGCTGGGCCGTCCAGGCTGAAGAGCGCGGCGCTCATGGCGGCGTCGGGCCAGACTTTGCGTCTAAGTGCTGCTGTCACCTCACTGGGCCGACCCCGCCGCCTTTTCTAGCCGGGGCTGACGCGCACGCCCCGCCCCGGCTACGGCACAGCGAGGGCGCCCCGGGGCCGCGGGGGCGGTGGGCGGGGGCCCTGGGGGAGCCTCCGCCCCCGGCCCCGTCCCCCAGCCGTCCGCTGGCGTGCCCCTCTCCCGGCTATTCCAACAACCCCATCGCGGTCCCAGGGACCCTCTGGCCGGCACGTAGGGGATGGGATGCCCGTTTCTGCCCCCGCCCCTGGCCCATCCCGAGTCACGCTGCTGGGAATAGCCCTCCTACTGCCCGCTCTCCAGGGCCTTCCCTCCTTCCTGTTTGTGGGGTTTGGAGCCTCCTAGTTCCTCGCCACTGGGAGTAAAATTAAAACCAGGACTTGGCCCCGGATTGTGTTCGTCCTGGGACGCCTCTGGTCGCCAGAGAAGAGAGAACCGGGTGGTAGGGCTTCGTGCGGCCAAGGGTCTCCAAGGGCCTCCGGCGTCCGATTGCCGCAAGAGACCCTCACCCAGTCGCCCACGCAGAGGGCCCAGATGCAGAGACCCACGCTGGGGAAATGAGGCGCAGGAACTCATTTTTAGCCACAGTCTGGTGGTGGGGATTCGGGCAGCAAGCGCGCAGAGGAAGGCTGCTTCTCATCTCACCCACCCAGTCTCGGACGTTTCAGGGAATTTGGGGCCCGCTCTAGCCGCCTTGCTCGGAGATCCTGGGGCCCAGCTGGCCCTAGGGACAGAGGCTCAGCAATGCAACCGATGCTTCCTGGCGTCCTGTCCGAGGGGGCAGCAGCACCTCCTCGATACCATCCATAACAGCAGAGTCAATAGGAGAGTGCGGTCACAACGCCACGTCAGGACCACCGACCATCCTAAATTCAGCCCTTCCTTGGAGCAGAGGGCCTGCCGCCCTTCCCAAGCCCCAAAAGCACTAGCGCTCCCTGGGGGCTTCCTGGAGCTCCCTGGGCGCTGTCGGGTATTTTGCAGGTCTACTGAAACAGTGCCACCTTGTGGTAGTCTCTTGCTTTAGCCCTCTTTCCAGTTCCAGACTCATTTCCCTATTAAATTCAAGAGGTGCTCTTGAATCTATAGTAGCTGGTCCCATTTGGGAGAAAGATAAGTTCTACGCCAGTAGTTGTAATGAGGTATTAAGTTGTTATTGCTTCTTATATTGTAAAATGAATGCGTGAAAAGTTGAAGTAAAATCCGGGCGAGGTGGCATGCAGCTATTCTGTAAGCTGAGGCGAAAAGATCACTTGAGCCCAGAATCCCAGACCAATCTGGCAGCAAAGTTAGACACACACACACACACACATACACACACCATCTCAAAAAAAACAGGATGGGGTTTGTTCCTGGGGCAAACATTTCTGGTCAAATCCATTTTTAAATCATTGTTCTGATGGAGATCTACCCCCCATTTTGCATCCTTTGCTTGAGTTTTTCAACAGGTGTTGTGTCAGAACACCACCTGCTAATTCCTAAAAATGTATTATGGGATATTTAGTGAGTTTTCTGAAAAGGGGCAAATATTGCATTAGAATTACCGAGGGTAAAACAACAACAAAAAAAGAATTACTGAGGGTACATGATGTTTATGTTACAATTAATTAACTATTGAGGTTAAGGATGCAAATAATGTGGGCTCATGCACTCTGAGAAAAAGGTCTGGAACAAATTTCTTGGCTCTTTATTTAAGAAACAATAGAAACCTCGTTAAGATTCTGTCTATAACCTATTAAGGAACACATAATAAATATTTATACAGAATAACCATATTCTCATAAAAAAATTGTAAACATTTTCATTGATATGATCTACTAATTCTGATATCAGAGACCCTGTATATTAATATTATGTTTATTAAACTCAGTTGAGTTTACAAGATCATGACATATATTGAAATGCCCTGGAAGAGGTCACCTATCCCTGGGTAGTTAGGGCTGTACTTGGAAAGGGTACAGGCCTGTTCACCAGTACTTCATGATCCCTTTTGGGTTTAAGGATTTTCTTCCTTTTTGTGACAGTTGTTTGCAATCCATTTGAGACTCCCTCGACTTCCTGTATCTCAAGTCCACTATTAATGCATTCAAAATAAATGAAAAGTTTTCTAGTAATTTCTCCTTGCTAGGGATCTATTTCAAGAGATCCCTTGAGCCTTCTGATATCTCTGTTGACCTCAGTGCACAAGTCAAAAGAATCTAGTCAGGAAGCATTCTGGGCACAACTCTCGTCCCTCATATCCGCAGAACAGTCTCACATGGGGTACAGTAGAGCTGTCCGATGAAGTTCACCCCCTGTGGACTTTCTATGTACCTGAGTGTTAGAGATTTAGGGGGCTGAAAATGCTTGGGAATGTACTCTAGTGTCATTAAGTATTGTCAGGGTTAGAAAATCAATGCAGTCTCCTTGCTCTTTCATGACACAGAGGAACCAGCTCTCTTCTTGAGAATCCTGTTTGTACACTTCACACTGCACAAAAACAGCTCTCCACTAAATTGAAAGCTGAAAATGTAAAATATTTTGGAGTAGATCTAGCAACACTTAAAACTGAGAGTGTCAGGGAGTGAGGAAACTTTGTTGAATTCAGCGCCCTCTTCAGATTATTTTCAACTACTATATGAAATACTTTGGTATACTTTCTCTACTAGGGCTAATTTTAACTGTATAGCTTACTCTCCTGTGTTTCGTGTAACAATAATGAAGTTTATATTTATTAAATTTTTATATCCATAAACATGGATATAAAATA